TTTTTTTTGTTTTGTATATGTGCTAATGAGCGCATGTGCGCATGTTGTGATTTAGTATAGTATATATATCACATATTATATACTCTTAGAATTTACTAAATGATTTTTGTTTAATTACACATAATAATTTATACACATTTCTCGAAATTAATGGTAAACGACTAAACAGTACAGTATACAAATCATACCGTTTTGCATTCAGATATAGCGTACGTGTTCTCCCTTTCTTTTTTAAATAGTGTATATAATTCACGTGTTAGCACACGTTATAAGAACATAACGCGTCTATCTTATTCACACGAACAAACGAGGCGCATGTATCTTCACACTTGTAGATGGTTTCTTTTTATTCCTTTTGCACAATTACAACACGAGTCGAACTCTTTATTCGCTAATAATAATTTAATTGATTAATCAGCATAAATTCATGAAAACATTTTTCTCCTCATATTCAGACAGTCATCACAGAATGAGAATGAAATATTTTTTATCTTCTTGTAATTTAAAAACACATTTACAGTCGTACGAATCATTCTTCCTTTTTTTTTTTAATACACACTAGCTATCACACACGCGGAATCATTCGATCACATTAATTCAATGAATTATATTTATTTATTTATATATATATATATATAAATACGTATATATGTATATATATATAAATATCAGTATCAATTTATCATATATACTACATGTCCACCCCATGATTCTTACTTAAATAGCTTCGGGCGATCAATACTTGTTCGCATATTTTATATAGTAACCATATCTTTTCATTTGATTGCATTGTACGCAATATATATCGACTTAAGTATTTCTTCCCCTTATTTCTTTTATCGTGTAATTATATCGCGAGTACTTGCTGCTCTAAATCTTTTTAAAAAAAATTCCTCCTGCTCGTTCTCACAAATGCACTGCACTTTAATATGTCAAGAGAAGTCATGAGGCGGACAATATTTAATTTAATTTCCTAAACGAATTTCTCGAGTTATTATTCATTTACATCACGCATATTTTTTATTTGTGTGGGTGTGTTACGCGCACGCGCACACATGGTGTGTATTTCCATTGTACGCGTCATTATTCATTCATTCAGTTAATTAGCGATTGTTCGAATATTACTATTCAACGTTTCCTTCGTTTACTCTTACATTTGCGCCTGCATCAATAGTTATCTTTCATATCTTCAGCTAAACATACTTCTAAGATACACGCAACAACGAATTCATTAAGAATCGGAGAGAAAACACGGTTTTCTTTTTTTTTTTATTTAAAATGGGGGAGGGAGGGACGTACTTATTGACGAGTTGGTAAAACTCTTCTCTCCCTCTTCTTCTACATTTCTCAATTCTCATCCATTATTACGTGAAATACATTTATACACAAACGATTAAGTGATCTGTTATTTTCTTTTTCATCACTAAAATCGCCGAGATAAATTCCCTTCTCTCCTTGCATAATTTTTAATCATTGTTTTCCAAATAATTGTAATATCCAATAAAATGTTCGCCAGTTTTCCAAATTCGGTCACCTCAATTTAATCATTGTTTGTCTTTATTCAGAAATAAATTCCGTAATTTTACAAAATGCTTATATCAAATGAATGTCCACGGTTCATGAACGTTTTGAATCCTAACGAACAATATGATGAAGACTAGACAGAAGTTAAGACTTCGGACAACACCGACGATCGATCAGCATACATATACCTATATTTTTATACAAATTACTTCGACAGAATATGTGGCAAGAGTCCACAACTTCTCTTATCTGTTTGTTTAACAAATAGGATAGTTACCGCGCTGGAGGCACAAGTAGCTTTTTTTTCTCTTGTCTTTCACATTTTTATCTAATAAGTCTTTGAGTCAAAGTGGTCTTACGTTGAAGTGATTCGATAATCGAACGAACGAAAAAAATTACAAAGGAACGTGCGACTTTTCAACGTCAAGATCACTTTGATGATTCTAAGAGTTCTATTAAAGTAATCTTGATTTCCGATCTGGAACGAAAAGATTAACGAAATAGTTGAGATAAGTATTAGACAGGCACGATCCACAGTCGGGAAACGTTTGAAACCATGATACAGAACGGTTGTCAGGATGTTTTAAATAGAAGAAATATAAAAATGGTGGTCTCTGAGAGATTATGTCGTCACTTGGGAAATTTACAGGGAGCCCTTTTTCATGTTTTATGAAACACATTCACCTAAGACTGTATTACGTTTACGCGTTCTACTAATGAAATGCTTATTTTTAACATGAACGTAACATATTTGTTATACAGTTATGCTAAAATAATTAGCAAAAATATTCAAAGAACGTTCTCGAAGCAAATTGTAATCATTTGACACAGGCGAATTATTGATAATTCTCTACTGTCAACGATACTGAAGAGTAAGAAAAACAAAGGGACACAACCGTAGGCTACTACATGTTGTTGTTTAAAAATCGATTAAGACGAATCAATGTGCGTGTTCGATCGAATGACATTTTCATTTCTCCTTTCTTTCTCTTTCTTCTTTTCGCTCAACGCTTTTCCTTTTCCAATAAAAACAAAAATAGCACCCTTACATCACCGCACAATGTAATAAATGCAACGATAATCGTAATCTCAGACGATTGAACTTATTTGATATCCATGCATTCGTGCACGCGTCACTGATTTAATAATTCCAACAATTTCGAAAAACGATTATCCAGTCTCTATGCATATACGTAGATGCATACGTTGTTCACGAATCCATCTTCGCCTTGCATCAAAACTTCTAAAAACTTCGCCTCTCATTAAATCGTATTAGAATTATCTGCAGGACCACGATCCGAACAAATGTTTGTCGTAGAAAAGTGACGTAGATTTTTAGATTCTTCTTCGGCCTTTTTTTTTTTTTTCTTCCCTTTCAATAACGAAATATTGCAGTTTCCTTTCTCAAATGCAAATAACTACGGCGCACGAAAAACGAACATTTCTATTCTACTCAGAAAGACAATCACAATTCAAATACAACGTTACAACGTTCATTTTTCTTCATCTACACTGATCGTGGTCAGTTTAAATAAATACATTGCTCTAGATTGTACAGATGAATCTAATTTCTCCCAAAGATAGCCTTCTTAACAATGATTACAGCAGTAATCGCTAACCACGATGATAATGACGACAATAACGACGATGAAAATGACAATGAGACACGATGACAGTGATGATAATATAATAATAATAATAATAACAATAATAATGGTAATAAGAATAATGATAATAGTACTATAACTACTCTTTCGCTTCAATAAAATCTGACTGTGTAAAGACAATTTTTTTTTATCGAGTAACAGCGTAACGATAGGACGATCACAATAAATGACTCTGTATTCTTAACATAAACGCGAGAATGGTAGCAGAAAACGCGTATTTATCTACGAGCAGACGTTTCGTGGCCTCGTTAGAAAGGCGTAACGAATTTACAATTTCATAGTGTTTTTCTCGGTCTTTTCCGAGACAACTAGAAAGTCTCGATGATGCAATCGTATTCAGAAATCGAATTCAATTATATTTAATTACTTATCGAGAATAATCACCAGCAACCTTGCACCATCAGCTCATTTGTGTATATATATATATATATATATATCTTTCGTTACGACGATTCCAATCGTGCCTACTTCGTCTACTTTGACTTTCGCTTTTTAAGGCAATGCTCTCTTAGCAACGTGGACCACAAAGAATACTGTGAAATGCAAGTGAACAATGCACTTTGTGGACAACGCTGTTCCGTATTTCATCGACGATTTTCATTTGCACGACGAGGATCGTAATCGCGAGGAAAGAAGAAACAGAAAGTAGTTCGTTTCGTACAAAGTGAATCCTTTGAATTTCGATCCTTTGATTTTGTTTCAGCATCGAGGAAAACAAAAAGAAAAGAGAGAATTTTTCGATACATTATAAAACAAGAAGCAATACTCGCAATCATTATCGAGATATTTAAATGCAAATACAACGTTTTTAGTTAAGCGAACGTAAGATGTTCCTCCAATAATGAATTATTGTACCGAACAGTTCATCAACCAAACGCACAATTTCAAGTTAGCTTCGTCAAACTACCAATGCATCATTACTTCCTATCTGTACGAACTTGCCATTATTATTTACAAATAATAATTACTTGCACTACTTATTTTTACATGTACATATTCACATGCCTGGTACATTGTACGTACAATAAAAGAAAATGACTTGTGCGATCGGTGTATGTATACAATATATATAATATATATGTACGTATATAATGTATGTATAATATAATGTATGTATATATATATATGTATATCGATATATAATCGTGGCCACGTAAAATTTATTAGTTATTAATTCGGTATTCGTTTGTTTCTCGCTTGTGTACGCGCGCACAAAAATCGATTACAATTACACGAATTTCGTTTGCATTCAATAAGTCATAGTAACAAGTGTTTCCCTTTTTTGCCTGTGTGTGTGTTTCTTTTTTTTTAATTGCGCCGCGGCCGACGAAAACAGACGATCGATCTACGAATACCCTTTAGATTCAAATTCATCGTACGTCATATATATATATATATATATATATATATTTTTTTTCCTTTTTCTTCTTTTTCATAGACGATCAAATCACATTTTTCTCTTCCTTTTTTTCTCTGTTGTCCGATGTTGTTGAAGAAAGCATTCGAAATTAGGACAAACGCGTTTCCATATTCAACAAAAAAGAAAAAGAAAAAAAAAAAGAAGGAAGGAAAATAAAATCACAATGAAAAAATATAAGAATACTCGCAACAATACTAATTTCACAATACTCGTTCATACGAAATGATGGCTCACATTTCTTTGTGCTGGATGAACATTAAAGTTTCACGGAAATTTCATTGACAGGTAATATTATATATGTATACTCGCAGATGCAGGCTCGCTGTCTTTCACACCCTAACATTCTTGTCTCACTTTTACATCTGTCATTAAGTTTTACAGTAAAAATAACACTTCGTAAAGTTATAAATACCGTTACAAACTATGGCTTGTCAGTTATGTTTAGTACGATAGGTATACATATATATGTATGCACACGGGCCCATATATTGATATTACATGAGAGTACATTTATGAGGATGTGGGCTCGTCAGCATGTCACGGAGTAACCGTTATGCAATGTCCGGAATTTCTATCCTCATTGTTTCGACAGCCACAATATTTAAACATATGATAATCGGATGGAACATCATCGAATGGATTAAAAAGAATCGGGTTATCCATATCGCTGGATAAATGTAATTTTCATATGGGATACGAAGAGAAGAATGATTCGTCGATGTAAAGTACTGAAAAAAGGAAAACATCACAAGATTAAGCAATCGTGTAAAAAATAAGAAAAAGAGTTGATTTTTTTTTTTTTTTCGTTCTGTGCAGAATCTTTCTCTTATTTCTATTTCTTTTGGTTTATAAAGAAACGATCCATCGTAACGAATAAATAAAAAAAAAAAAAAAGAAAAAAAATCATGATTGAAAGTTTGATAGAAAGACGTTCGAAATGACACGATAATAAGGATAGTAAGACCGCATGCCCCAATATATTCACGTCGTGTTACATAAAACTTCGGAACGTGGCTTACTCGTACTCTTATTTTATTCAGTTTAATTTGACGTTAAACTCTTGTTATCTATTATAAAAGTAGATATTACACAGATCAGTAACCCGCACTTAATCTAGGGGTATGAGGATGTATGTATGCGAGTGGATGTGCTGCCGCGAGAAAGAAAAGCGCCTTGCGTTTGAGATGAATGCTTCCTTTCTTTTCTATTTTTTTTTTTTCTTTTTCTTTCTGTCACTAATACGTATATCCATTCACCAGTTTATGTATTTATAGTAGAATGCACGTGCACGCACGTGCGAGTTAATAACCGCAATGCGCGTAATTTCAAAGCAGTTCGCACACGCGTACAAACCCCTCTCGTCCTCTGTAGTATGAAATTGAAGGAAAAAAAAAAAAAAATTTGGAAAAGAAAAGATATAGTTAAGATTAAAAAAGAAAAAAAAAAAAAAAAAAAGAAAGAATAATAGGAGACTTACCATATACAGGGTGTCCAAATAGTAAAGATATTTGAGATAAGAAATTCGCACATCGCACTTTGGTTCAGGAAACTTTACCCTAAGAAGTTCCGATAATAACTGATCATTTGGATGTATCAATTGAAATTTGTACATGTTGCATACCGTCGGGATATAAAGCATTTACGGCACGCGGGACTTTATGTTACGAAGTCGAATAAATAAGCAACGTATCATATCTCCGCGTATGTTATAACGTTTACATTGACGTACTTTGATTGTTGTAAAGTTGGAGCCTAACGCTATAGTCAAAAGTGTACGTGTAAAACGAATTTCCCCCGTGGCACATTTCGCTTGCATACGTTTAGGATTTACATGTAGACACTAGCTATAATGATAATATACAGGCTGTTCCGTTCTTGCAAAATGGAAATACCTCGTAAGGGTCTCTTAAGTTACAAAAAAATGTTTCTATAAAAGTCGTTTAAGACACTATAAAAGTCATTATGTGATGCTAATGGCATTTTTGTGGATGGAATGGCGGAGAAGTTTCAAAGTCAAGTTAATTCTTTTAAATGGAATCGTATAATTTCAAATAGATTTATCTGAGCATTCTCTATAAAAAAAGAAAAAAGAAATTAACCTATTTATGTCCAAAAACGACTGATTTAAGAGATATTTTCGATATTTTAGTTTTACAAAGCTTATCAGATGAAAGAAAAGGATAACACAAACACAGAAATATCACTCATATCTTTCCTTCTCTCTCATAAATTTTACAAAATTGAAGAGAAAATATCTCCTCTTTGTTTTCTGACATAGTAGGTTGATATTGAGTTGATAAAATGTATGTTGATAAACATTTCAAAATGTTTTTCGATATAAATAGGTTGATATTTTTTTTACAGAAAATGTCAGACGAATCGATCATTACTGTCAGATAACTCGAAATTATACAATTCCATTAAACGAAAATCGACCACGTAATTTCCTTCACTATTCTCCAAATCTTCTCCAGAAAAATACCATTAATACTACATGATGCACCCCTTATGCCAAACAACTTTTATAGGAAAATTTCTTTTATAATTTCAATCTCTCACGAGATATTTCCATTTTGCTAGATAAATGAAACATCCTGTATGTGCCTAAGTACACGAATTTAAAGTAGTTCAATGGAAATCAGTAAAAACGATATCAGTGAGGAATTTCGATTCATAGGAAACGTACATAAAAACATGAATTCGTGGACGGTCACCCTGTACATATTTGATACATAGTTATATAATTAAAACACTCTTCGAAATACTGTAAAATCTCACAAAATACTCTCCTTGTAAAAAGGTGCGGCTGAGACTCCTACGGGTCGGGCCAATGCGATTAAAAGTCGAGATTCGGAAATTCGAAAAAAATTAATTTACCAATAAAACACGGAAATCGTATATAATTAAATCGTTTTAAGGGGCAAGGGCAAAAATAGAGATTCGAAAATGAGTAAAGAAACGTTCAACGATAAGGATTTTTATCGGAGAAATCACCTAAGTCTTAAGAAACATTCTTAATACTAAATCTGAACGAGATAATAATGCGACGAGTGTGCCGGACGAAAGAGCCGTTACACGATCCCGTCATGTTACTTTGTAACAATGGCCCACGTTAAAACATTCGTACGTCCTCGCTCTCTTTCAGTCGTTCGCTTGCTCTCTCGCTCTCTATTTTCCTCTCACTCTCTTATCAACGAATTGATGCGTAATAAGAATAAAATTAACGAGGTAATAGTTAAAATTGCACGTGTTTTTCTAGCAACGAATATTATTATCCCCCCCCCCCCCCCCCCTCCCTCAATCACGACGTTCAGCACACTCTCGACGAAACCTAAAAAAGGAGTCGAGTGATCGAAATGCCCGAAATACTTTTTTTTCCCTATTCGAACGATCGTTAGAGTAGAATGCGCAAGGGCATAATTTGCTTGTACACCAATGACATAGTAAGCGATTCTCCATTGTGATACAGATTTCTTTTTTTTTTTTTTTTTTTTTTGTTTAGGTAACTCCCAACTGCTGCGCATCAACTTTTCTCCTTGAACTCTTTGTCGAAGAAGAACGATCGACTTGCAGTCATCAATTATGCGTACACGCGGAGTCTCCGACGCGTTACTTTCTGAATAATTAAACGGCTTCAGATACGCGAAGAAGAATTCCACACACCAATGTTATATATCATCGTACATCGCGATATTATTCAGATCGCCCACAGTACGATTGGCTTGACTCGCGTTAGCTCAGGATGGAGCATTACCGTAATATTTATACGAATAGATAACAGAACATGTCGGCAGGAACGAAGTCACAAGAGCTCGTACTGGCGCAAGTGCATCCGTTGAATGATGTCCCGACAATCGTTAAACACTCTCTTGATGTTCTCCGTATCGACGGCGCATGTAAAGTGCGGATAACAATAGTGCTTGCCGTCGCCGCTGGCTGTGCTTATACGCTGCAAGCAGTTCGAACAAAAATTTTATTGTCCGTACAATAAAGCCACGGTTGAATGCTTAGCGGAAAGTACTCACAAGAAATTCATCTCTAATGAAGTACTTGGCCCTCAAAACGTCGGGAGGTTCCGAAGGATCTGCCACTACTCCAGCTTCAACTGGCGTTTGATATCGCGCGAATTCTGGAAAATAATCCTCTAGTTTGTGCTTTCCAGCTTTTATTTTTTCCGCTAATAGATCTTGCTTGTTTAAAAATAAAATTACGGAAATTGTGCGGAGCCACCTAGAACAGAAAAGAACGAATCTTTCAATCGAACCTTGTCTTACGTTCAACATCCTCGAGCGGCTAAACCGATTCGTTTACCGATTGTTCCAAATGCTTTTGAAGAGGTCCAAACTTTCTCTAAGTCTTAATTTTGTCGGATCCTCCCTGAGTACCATGTTATAACTACTACATGCTGTTACAAATATGATTGCCGTTACATCATTAAAACACTGTATCCACTTTCTCCTTTCGTCACGTTGACCACCAACGTCGAACATGCTGCGAACAAGCAATCATAGATATTATTATAACATTCGCGGGTGAAATGCACGCTAAGGCTCGTGCTCGTATACTATATTTTACGTAACACCGTCGACGGGTAACAAAAAGATTGAAATCAGAATCGATTTGCAAATGTCTTTTTTTTTTTTTTTTTTTTCTGTTGGGATGAAATTTCACAGAGGACCGATAAAAAAACTGGATGCTCCTCCGTAGGGTTAAATGCGAAATGCAGGATCTAACCGAGGGGCGGCAAGCGGGGACTAAGGCAAAAAGGGAAAATATTATAAAGCTGTGGAGGCGTTAACTCGGCTAACGGATTTCGCTGCACGTATAGCATGTAAGCCTATAGCTGTAATATACACGCCGGGATGAGGTGCGCGTCGCTGCTTCGCGTTATATTTACCGTCGGCCGATGTTACTGTAATACGTCGTCTATATATAGTTGACGACACTGGAGTAAAGCGAGCAGCTATCGGTGAGGACTTACTGAAAGTTTACTTTGTCGACTTGAAACCACATTTCGAAGATACCGGACGTAAGGACTCGACACCTGAGGATGTCCTGCAACAGAACGATCAAATTTACCATTCTAATGGAATCTCCGTATTATTTCATAACGATTCTACGTTAGAACGTAGTTGTATTGACAATTACCTGTTCCGTGGGGGTATAATCCGGTTGTTTAACAATGGCTACCTTATCTAGAAAACTGAAACAGAGAACAGAAGAAACGATTACACATCTCCAACTTTCGTGGCAACTGTGTAAGCGTAGATCGCAAAACGATCGATTCAACAACACTGTAATGAGCTACGTTTTGACGAACGTGTAAGTATTTCTACATAATTGAGGCTAGTTAACCGCAGTGTCATCGTTCGTGCGAATGTGTTTGCGTGTTTAAATTTTTAAAACGAGCTATCTCATAATTCTCAAAATCATTGACGCCGAACGAGAAGAAGATAAAAGAAAATTCTGGATTGTTTTTTCTAAACATCAAGTGAGAAAAAGTTCTCATTTTCAAACTTTCGGTTTCCAAATAGAAGTTGCAAAATTTCAAGTCGTGTCGAAATTGGTGCGATAATGTACACGATGGAGAACGGAAGTGTCGGTTGGAAAAGGGTGGAACGATAGAAAAAGGGTGAGAAAGCATCTAACGGAGAGAGAATTCTCTCCTTTCTCTCACACTCCTCTCCCTTTTCCTTTATTTCTCTCTTCTTTCACCCCTTGCGGTACGCTCTTTTGCTCCTCTCCTTTGTCTCTCTCTCTCTCTCTCTCTCTCTCTCATATTTTCTATCACCGTTTCTCTCGAAAGACCCTCTCTCGGTTAGTGTCTAGGGTGGATAGAGTACGCGAAGGGGGAAAATCGATCCTCGGTGGTGTCCTATCCTAACCCCAACTCTCGCCCTCTCGGCCTCGCCGAGTATGCCTCTCTAGCACCCAGTTCTCAATCCGGGTCATGGGTCACTGCCACCGCTGCTCGCCATCAATCGTACGTGCAGACTTCGCTTCGCGTATGTATACCGGCGGCCTGTACAGGTGTATGTACACGGGGAAAACCTACAGGGATGGATCTTCGCTTTGACACCACCATGCAACCTTCCACAGTCGGTTGACGGTGATAATATATATTTACTGACAGACACCGACACTGCGCTCCAGCCCGGATATTAAACAGTCGTATAGGCAACGACACTTTCTTCATTGGGAACATATCCCGGAAAATAAAATCCAAAGAATAAAACCCAAAATTATCGGTACGACGTATCATTCTATTAGCTAGCGAAACATCATTTTGTTATTAGAGAATAACACAAACGATTCGAAAAGATTCTCACCGATACGAAGAGAAGAAACGAGTCGCAGGATGCAACACGATTCACAGTGTTCGCGTAAGTGACCAGCGTAATTCGAGTAAATTCACGAGGAATCAGAAATCGGTGAAATTGATTTCTGGCAAATGGTTGTACCAAGGAGAGCTGGAGAGAAACCGTGGGATAGGAGGAGACTATGTAGCTCGTGTGTAGGCTCGCGAGAAAGGTAGGTCATGAAATTGGCGCGCTTACACAGAAATGAGGTTATCGACCTCCGGAGAATTGAAAGAGGAAGGAGGTCGTGACCCACTGGTTACAGCAGAACGATTTTCTGGTTACCGCGACGGTGTAACTTCACCGACCTTGAGGTCAACTTTAACAATGTTATTTCTAACGATACGACACGACACGCGCCGCACTCCTCCTCCATTAAGGTTCCAGCGTTGAGTTTTTCGAAACACTTTATTTTTATTGCGAGCGATGAGACGAAAGACGATATCGCACGACACGAGAGAGTTAAGAATTTATAACCTATCTCGAGGTTCAATCTTGAACGAATCGTCCTGTATAAGCGACCGTGCGTACGAAAAAGAATAGAGAACACGTTCAGAAAAATAAATGTTCGCGGATTTTGAACGAGGTCAAACTGAATGAGGAAAACAATGCTCGTTGCATAAGTAACGAATTGAAGTAGACCAAATCGAATCGGTACTGAGATCCTTTACGTACTCCTTATGTTGATTTCGACGCTTTCTAACATTCTGTTTCATCCTGGGCTATTTCGAATTGCAAACACTTGGGCAACGTAGCGATTCTAATTGCTTCTTGCTTAATTCGATACAAAAATCGAACGTATCGCTCGATTTATAAAGAAAAATTTTCTGCGACTTTCGAAGGAGCGTCAAAATCTTTCTGAAACGACCTCATCGATTTTCTTTTTTTCGCGATCTATGTTTAGACACTGGCGTCGAAAGTTATTAACGAGGATAAAAAATACTGGTTTTTATCTAACGTGCCACGGAAGAAGATTGTTATCGACCTAAACATTCATGAACTATGTGTGGCAACATCAGTGATCCCAGCATATAGACCAGCGTCTATATATAGCGACACGTGTTTCCTTTTTTAAGGTGTGCCGAGGTATTCCATCGTGTAATTGACACGTTACTCGATTCTCACCGTGTGTAGCGCTCGTCTTCTCTTTTTTTCTCTTTCCTGCATTTTCGCTTTCTCCCTCTTTCTCACATTTTTTTTAGTTCTCTCTCTCTCTCTCTCTCCCTCTCTTTTTTATTTTTGGTCCGAAACAAAAATCTGATATCAAAAGCGATGTTGCACGAGTCGAGTTGAATTTTCGGCGCAATTTGACAGAGTTCAAAGGAGATACGGGCGGGAATCGAGATCATGATAATAACGTCGCGACACGCTTCAAAATGTGAATTTTGTTGCGTGAAATCTGACTGTTGTTCAACCCGAAAATGAGTCCGACTGAACCCAACAATCGATAATCAAACGTTGTTGCGTTGCGATCTCTTATTCACGTCGAACAAATATTTATTCGCCGTGCACCGACTCCAATTCGATGATATTTTAGGAAGCTTATCCGTTGGCCCATATTCCTTCTATCTTCGATACAAATATTCCAGATTGTTTAACTTTAACTTTTTACGTCCTCTACAAAAACAAAAAAAAAAGAAAAAAAGGAATTATTCCATTAATCTTCGCCAATTATCGTGTAACTCGTGTAAATCTGTTTTCCTGATCAGGTGTCAACAATGAGAGGCTTGTTTGGCAAACAGGCATCTGAAATTACAACAATCTAACGTTCCTGTAGTCCACACGAATATCTCCGTTATATCTCGAGCAATACTTTCTAAAAATAAGACGTACTATTTTTATCGAGAGATTTCTCTCTCTTTCTTTCTATTTCAATGCACAAAAGGACGAGAGAGAATCAATGAAAGATAAAAAAAGAAGAAGAAGGAAGAGAAGGAAAGACACAGAGGGAGAAGGAGAGGAAGAGAGAGAGGAAGAGAGAGAGAGAGAAAGAGAAGGGGAGAGGTTAAAAAATTCACACAAACGTCGGCCAACAAGGTGCAGTAACCGGAATGTAACCGGCTCTAACATATTTTTAACCGAAACGAAAACTATCACCGTGATCTTGATTCGATCACGGTTTCGTGAAACGCCAAACACTAACTTGGCACGTTTTGCTGAACGTCGATCGTGAACGTATTCTCGCATTGTCTCTTGGGGGCATCAAACGAACGATAAACGTTTTAATCTCTCCTGTCATTGACAGCGCAACGACAATGACGACGACAACAACTACGGTGATAACGATGATATCCATGGTAATTGTAGTTATATGCGGGCACGGAGAGAGACCCAGCAAAGTTGTAACCAAATATAGAGTGACTTCTGTCTGATTAAAACATTTGACGAATTGATAGACAGCAAACAAAAAAGTCACATGCCCGAGTTTGTTTGCATGGCGGATAAATTTTGCGTTTGCACTCGAGATTCACGCCCCTTTGCCCACAGGCCAGTGCAACAACCTGTGCCTCACCTATGTAATTTTCAAAGGGATGCAGCTTAAAGTGACCTGCTGAACCGGGACGATCCGCAACGGACCAGTTTTTCGCTCATTTATATAAATTTATCGGGTCGGCAGGTGTTCGCTCCGAGTTGCACGACGTTCAAGAGGAGAATAATATGTTTCCAATGTAATACGATACTACCAAGCTCGTTACTAATCGTTCAAGCAACGAGTCACTAATTTGTCAAGTGTCTTACAAACTTAACTTTATTACAATTTTACGATTGAAAAAAATACAGACTCGCAGAAATTGATCTCGGCTATCATAGATAGATTCGGTCGAGCTCCGTGTAGATAAAGCGCAAAAAAAATAAATAAATAAATAAGTAAATATTCTGTATGTCGAAAATATTGTTGCTTGTGCGAATCGTTGCGGTAGAAAAAAAAGGGGGGGGGGGAAACGAGAGAGAGTCGAACAGAAGTAAGCGCGAGAAAAGTTCGAGGTTGGAACAATCCATTGAGAACCCCTAGATAAACGAGTGGCCCCTATTAAAGCGATTACCTCGTTAAGGCATTGTCTCTATTGGCATTAAATCGGTGTCACAGGCCCATGAATATACAGCGATATACCATATGTATCGCGGTCATGAGAACGCTTCCAAAATTTATCCAACAGACTATTTACAAGTCAGACGCGATAACAAATACTGATATAGTCACGCACAAAGAGGCAGATACACAGGTACGAATACACAGCCGTAGTTGTTACACTTTTTCACGGAACTACGGGTTCTCGTTTCGAGTTGGACTCTCTAGCACACGCGGAATAATTAAAAGGATAGTGGACGAATCCGTGGACAAATCCAGCGTGCTTCGAGGTCTCATTATCATTGTATAAACGTTATCATACGTGGCTCCTTATCGTAATCGCGATATCAGTCCCGGGGCGAATTAGAATAACCGTGCGTCGTGCCTCAAGCACACCGAACCATTTAACGTTACGAATCTACTCCAATAACTTTACTCTTTTTCACTTTTCATCATCCGACGTGCCAGAATCTAGCTCTGTAGCATGCTATTGTACGAAACCAAATATCTTTTTTTATTTTAATGCCCAATTTTTAATATACACAAACGCACAATTAATGTTTAATTATTCGGATAAATTCACTCTGATGATCGTAAGAACAAAGGATAACTCACTATTTGGCGCAGTCAATTAGTTGGTACTCGTTACTCCTCTCGTAACTCTGTTGAACACCCCGGTCCTTCCAAAGCGTTTCGACGATATCGAAGAATTCCTGTAAATACAAGTTTTCGATTCAATTGGAGAATCATAACTGCCTGAACATGATGAAGCAGTAGCAGTAAAAAGCATTCGGAAATAGACGATCAGTTCACGGTACGTTTGTGGGTGATTTGCAAATAAATTCACGGTTTGGCAGCCGTTCTCTATCGTGTCTCATTAACTATCTAAAAAAACCGTCCAGCTCTGACGAAACGGGAAATTTGGCTCGAACCCGGTCACTATCATGACAACAAAATATAGCGTGTCACAGTTTGGACCAATAAAAAAGACGATTCGGAGCGTAACTAACGCGAGGCTAGCAACCACGAAGCACGTCCCGTTATCGACAGAAAATATTTTCATTTTTAATTCTGTCGCTGGCTTTGCACGCACGTATTATCCGTCCCTATATAAAAATGGATATCGACCAGGTATCTGAGCCAAGATAAATATTCGAATAGCATCTATTGCCGAAGCGTTGTCAGATTAAAAGAAAAAAAAAAAA